CGAAAATAACTAAATAAAATAATAACTGTAGAAATACAACCCAAAATTATAAGTCTACTAGTGTGTGCCAAGACCTGGTGTCACAAGTATATGGACATTCTAGCAGAATATACAAAAGAATACTAGTCTACTGTCTGAAATGAAATAGACAGATAAATATAACAAAAGGGAGACTTCGGCTGCTGCAGTACGGCTCGAAAGGGGCAGCTCACACTATAGTCTCAAACCAGAGTCAAGCTTGCGCGCCGGACTGGTAACCAGATGTACCTGCCTCAGATCCTGCACAATTAAGTACAAAAGTATAGTATGAGTACATAAACAATATGTACCCAGTAAGTATTTAGTGTAACCTCGAAGAAGTAGTAACAAGGGGTCGAATCCGACACTTACTAAGAGCCAACAATATAATAATATGAAATTCTAATTTAAAACATGATACATGTAGAGATGGCAATAAAAGCTCAGAGTGAGGGATGACTAAACAATCCTTTCACCATATTTAAGAACCGAATCATTTCTTTCATTTTAAACAATAATCTCCCAAACAAGTGAATTAATACCAACTATGAAAGGGACTTCCAGTTCTATTATCACACACGAATTCTGCCAAGGACGTACGACCCGATCCAACATAAATATAACTGTGCACTACCAAGGGTAGAACGGCACGAACCATAGATGTATCTATTAACCTGCCAACGCGAATGGGCCACTCCCATGAGAGTAGTAGAAAGAGTCACCCCACTCGCGGAATATACTTGCGACGCAGTTAAATATAAATAAAACATAACCTTTCTCAATTCTTTTCAAAATAAGAATTTCAACTTGAAACTTTTGAAAACTTAAAATCCTCAACTTAGTTCCATTCAACAGTATTAATAAATATAATCAGATAACGGTGTCCACAAAGCATGGTGTAAACTTAAAACTACCCGGACATAAACAAGAATAGTAGCTATGTACGGACTCGTCACTTCCTGTGTACGTAGCCCCCGCAAATAACAATACATATTAATTTAAGTTCACCTATGGGGTAAATTCCCTTTTACAAGGTTAGAAAATAGACTTACCTCGCTCAAGGCCTACTTCCCGGTTCAGAATGTGCTCAAACCTCCAAATTTGGTGCCAAACGATTCGAAACTAGTCAAATATTATATAAATTAATCAATTTATGCTCAAAAGTTCATACCCCCATTATTAAAGTGATTACTCAATCCTAAATACAAGATTCCTAAAATTCACCCCGGACCCACGTGCCTGGATTCCAGAAATTTTCAAAAAAAGTTGTTACCCAAAGAAAGTTATTACCCATAACCTTAGGAACATAAATATATGATTTTTACTAAGTTCCATAACCAATTACATTGTCAAATCTCATTTTTATCAAAAACCTAGGTTTTCATCTAAATCCTCAATTTTCACTAATTTTTACATGTTAATCTATCCATAATCTATGTATTTAACTCATGTTGTGTAGAAATTACTTATATCAAATTGCTAGGTGAAAATCCTCTTCCAAAAGCTCCAAAAATCGCCCAAGAGATGAAGTGACATGAGATAAATGACCTAAGTTTCGCATTAAATGAGCTGGGCACAGGCCTCTAATGTTGCATTTGCGACACCAGGTTCGCAAATGCGAGGTTTGCAAATGTGAAAAGCCTCTCGCAAATGCGAAGCATGGGCTTCAGCTGATGAGGTCGAAAATGCGAGCAAAGAGTCGCAAATGCGGGCTCCGCTGGGATCGCAAATGCGGAAAATGTGTCGCAAATGTGAACACTGCCTAGGTCGGGCTCCTTCGCAATTGTGAAGCCCTTCTTGCAAATGCGAGGTTAGCATTTGCAAGACCTGCAACTGCTGCCAATAAACACCAGAAAACTGATTTGTTTTCATCCCTTCCGAACGTCCGAAACTCACCCGAGCCCTCGGGGCTCCACACCAAATACCCACACAAGTCTAACAATATCATACAAACTTGCTCGCGCGATCTGAACACCGGAATAACATTAAAAACTACGAATTGGACGCCAAAATGCATGACTTTACTCATGAACTCAAAAACTTCTAAAAATACTTCTGTGCATCCGATTCCTATCAAATCAACTCGGAATGACGCCAAATTTTGCGTGCAAGTCTTAAATGACATTACGGACCTACTCCAACTTCCGGAACTAGAATCCAAACCCGATATCAAAAAGTCCACCCTCGGTCAAACTTTTCAAAACTTCAAATTTCTAACTTTCGCCAAATGACTCCGAAACGACCTATGGACCTCCGAATGATACGCTCCCAAGTCCAGAATCACCATACGGAGATATTCCTAGGCTCAGACTCCCAAACGGACGTCTTGAATGTAAACATCCATTTCAACCCAAACTTATGGAATTTGCTCAAAATGCCAGCTTTCACTTTAGGCACCGAAATGCTTTCGGTTCATCCAAAACCCGATCCGAACATACGCCCAAATCCGAAATCATCATACGAACCTATTGGAATCGTTAAATCCTGATTCCGAGGTCGTTTACTCAAAATATTTACCGAAGTCAAACTTAGTCTTTTAAGCCAATTTAAGGAACCAAGTATTCCGATTTCAACCCAAACCCTTCCAAATCCTAAACTAACCATCCCCATAAGTCATAAAATAGTAAAAGAACGTACGAGAAGTCTTATTTAGGGGAACAGGATTCTAGAAAGCAAAATGACCAGCCGGGTCGTGACATTCTCCACCTCTTAAACAAACGTTCGTCCTCGAACGGGTTTAGAATCATACCTGTATTGCTGAATAAGTGTGGACATCTGCTTTGCACGTCATCCTCGGACTCCCAGGTCGCCTCCTCGACTGGTTGGACCCTCCACTGAACCTTTACCACGGAGATCCTCTTGTATCTCAACTAGCGATCCTGTCTAGCAACAATGGCAATTGGCTCATTCTCATAACCTAGGCTCTCATCTAACTGAATAGTGATAAAGTCTAACACATGTGACAAGTCGGAGTGATACCTCCGGAGCATAGACATGTGAAAAATCGAATGAACTCTTGATAGGTTGGGAGGTAAAGCAAGCTCATAAGCAACCTTCCCAACTCACCTCAACACCTCAAATGGGCTTATAAACCTGGGGCTTAGCTTGCCCTTATTCCCGAATCTCATAATAACCCTTCATCGGCGAGACATTCAAGAGAACCTTCTCGCCTACCATAAATGATACATCACACGCCTTCTGATCCGCGTAACTCTTCTGTCTAGACTGTGTTGTGCGAAGTTGCTCCTGAATCAACTTTACCTTTTCCAAGGCATCATTTACCAAATCAGTACTATATAACTTAGCCTCGCCGGGTTCAAACCACCCGATGGGAGAACGACATCGCTGACCTTATAAAGCTTCAAATGGAGCTATCTTGATACTGTACTAATAGTTGTTGTAAGCATACTCGTCCAAAGGTAAGAATCGATCCCACTGCCCTCCAAAGTCAATCATACATGCTCTGAGTATGTCCTCCAAGATCTGAACTGTCCGCTCCGACTGCCCGTCAGTCAGCGGATGAAATGCGGTGCTGAGCTCTACACAGGTTCCCAACTCACTCTGTACGACTCTCCAAAAATATGAAGTAAACTGAGGGCATCTATCTGATATGATGGAAACAGGCATACCATGCAGCCGAACTATCTCCTGAATATAAATCTGGGCCAACCTCTCTGAAGTATACGTAGTCATAACCGGAATGAAGTGTTCTGACTTGCTCGACTTGTCGACAATGACCCAAACTACATCAATATTTCGCAAGGTCCACGTCAACCCAATTACGAAGTCCATAGTAATGTGCTCCCACTTCCACTCTGGTATAGTCATCTACTGGAGTAGGCCACCTGGCCTCTAGTGCTCATACTTAACCTGTTGGCAATTTAGGCACCTAGATATATACTCAGCCATGTCTTTCTTCATCCACCACCACTAATAATGCTGCCTCAGGTCACGATACATCTTCATAGCACTTGGATGAATGGAATATCCAGAACTGTGCACCTCCTCTAGAATCCTCCCTCTTAAGTCATCGACTTTAGGAACACATAGACGACCCTGGAATCGTAAAACACCATCCTCGCTGATAGAAACCTCCTTTACACCACCCTGTAGTACCATCTCTCTAAGGACTATCAAATGCGGATCATCAACCTGTCAAGCCTTGATCTGCTCTAATAGTGAAGACTGAGCAACAACGCATGCAAAAACTCGGCTGGGCTCTAAAATGTCCAACCTCACAAGTCTGTTAGCCAAGGACTGAATGTCCAAAGCTAATGACTCTCATATGATGTAATGAAAGCCCAACTACCCATACTCTCTGCCTTTCCGCTCAAGGCATCTACGACTATATTCACCTTGCTCGGATGATAAAGAATGGTGATGTCATAATCCTTCAATAACTCAAGACATCTACGTTGCCTCAAATTGAGATCCCTTTGCTTGAACAAATGCTGTAAGCTGCGATGATCAGTGTAAACCTCACATGACACCCCATAAAGATAATGCCTCCAGATCTTAAGAGCATGAACAATCGCGGCTAACTCTAGATCGTGCACAAGGTAGTTCTTCTCATGGATCTTCAACTGACATGAAGAATATGCAATAACTCATCCTTCTTGTATCAGTACACAACCCAAACTAGCGCGTGAAGCATCGCAATACACCGTATACATTCCCAAGCCAGAAGGCAACACTAGAACCGGTGCTGTAGTCAAAGTTGTCTTAAGTTTCTAAAAGCTTGCCTCACAATCATCAGACCAATAGAAGGGAGCACTCTTCTGAGTCAATCTAGTCAAAGGTGCTACAATGGATGAGAAGCCCTCCACAAATCGGCGGTAATAACCTGCTAACCCCAAGAAACTCCTAATCTCAGTCACCAAAGTTGGACGAGGGCAGCTCTGAACTGCCTCAATCTTCTTGGGATCCACCTTAATGCCCTCGCCTGATACAACATGCCCCAAGAATGCCATAAACTCTAGCCAAAACTGACACTTAGAGAACTTAGCATATAGCTTCTGTTCTCGCAATGTCTGAAGCACTACTCTCAAATGTTGCTCGTGCTCCTCCATGATACGTGAGTAGATCAAGATGTCATCAATGAAGACAATGACAAACGAATTAATATAAGGCCTGAACACCATGTTTATCAAATCCATAAACATCGCTGGGGCGTTAGTCAAGCTGAAAGACATCAAGAGAAACTCATAATGGCCATATCTAGTACGGAAAGCAGTCTTCGAAATGTCCGAGTCCCTAATCTTCAACTGATGGTACCCCAATCTCAAGTCAATCTTAGAGAACACCTTAGCACCCTGCAACTGGTCAAACAAATCATCGATACGCGGCAACGAGTACTTGTTCTTGATGGTAACTTTGTTCAACTGGCGGTAACTAATGCACATCCGCATAGTCCCATCTTTCTTCTTTACAAATAAAACTAGTGCACCCCAAGGTGATACACTTGGTCTGACAAACCATTTTGCTAACAACTCCTCAAGCTGCTCCTTCAACTCTTTAGGACCATACGGTACGGTGGGATGGATTTGGGTACCTGGAGCCAGGTCAATACAGAAATCAATATCACGATCTGGTGGCATGTCTGGAAGGTTAGAAGGAAACGCATTGACGATCTCCCGGACCACTGGCACTGAATCAATCGTTAAAGACTCTCCGGTGGTATCCCAAGCATAGGCTAGATAAGCCAAACAACCCTTCTCAACCATATGTCGATCCTTTAGAAAAGAGATAACCCGACTAGATGTACTAACAGATGAATCCTTCCACTCCAATCTCGGCATCTCTAGCATCACTAAGGTAATAGTCTTGGCATGACAATCAAGGATGGCATGATATGGGGATAACCAGCCCATGCCCAGGATGACCTCAAAGTCAGTCATATCAAGAAATAGAAGGTCCGCTCTAGTCTCGTAACCACAGTAAGTGACCACACATGACCGATAGATCTGGTACACCAGTACAGAATCGCCCATAGGAGTGGATACATAAACTCCAAGGAATCACGAGGAATATCACGGAAATGAGCAAACAGAGATGATACATATGAATAGGTAGACCTTGGATCAAATAATATCGAAGCATCCCTACCACAGACGGAAATAATACCTGTGATCACGACATCTGAGGCCACTGCATCTAGTCTGGCCGAAAAAGTATAGAATCTAGCTGGAGCGCCGGCTGGCTAGCCTTCGCCTGACTGAACAGTAGCTGGCTGACCTCCCCCTGCCTGGCCTCTACCTCTAGGACGGCCCCTACCTGACTTCCCTCCACCTCTGGGCTGTCGGACGGTCGGTGCTGTAATCATGGGCTGATGGCCCTGCTGTACTGCCTTGCCCTGAAGTTTGGGACAAAATCTCTTTATGTGACCCAGATCTCCACACTCATAACAACCTCTCGACACCATAGACTCCTACCCCGAAGTCTGACCCTGATGGCCTGAATATATTCATTGGAGGAAACCTGGATGGCCGGTGGGCGATATGAATTCTCTGGCATAACATTGAAATAGGCGCTGAAAGAACCCTGATGACTCGAGTACCCACTAGAAGAACCCTGAATACCTGGTGGGTGGTAAGAACTCTCTAACATAGCACTAAATCGCATTGGAGCACCCTGAGGAGGTGGTGGTGCTGGATATATGGGCCTGCTAGGCTGACCCCTCCCAAACCGATCTCTGCCCTTAGTTGGGGCACCTCTAAACTCTCCAAAGAAACATGTCTTCTTGTCCTACGACATCTACTCTCTACCCCTCTAGTGGTAGCCCCCAATCCTCCGAGCAATCTCTAATACTAGCTGATAAGAAGTCCCTATCTCAACCTCCCGGGCCATATTAGCCCTAATACCCAAGTGCAACCCCGCAACAAACCTCTAAACTCTCTTTGCGTCCGTAGGAAGTATCATAAGTGCATGGCGAGACAACTCAGAAAATCTTGCCTCATAATCGGTCACTAACATCTGACCCTACTCGAGCTGCTCAAACGGACACCACAACTCTTCCCTCTGGGAGGATGTAATATACCTATCCAAGAAAAGCTGTGTAAACTGGTCCCAAGTCATGAGAGGAGAACCCACTGGCCTGCCGAGAAGATAAGACTACCACCACCTATGGGCCTTGCCCTCCAACTATAAAGTAGTGAAATCCACCCCATGAGACTCCAATATCCTCATGTTGTGTAGTCTATACCTGCACCTATCAATGAAGTCCTGGGGATCCTCATGTCGCTCACCTCCGAAGACAGAAGGGTATAGTCTAGTCCATTTATCCAAAAGCTTCTGTGGCTCCCCAGCCACAACTAGTCTAGGCTCAGGTACAACCGTCGCAACTGGCTGGGCTCTGCCCACGGGTAGTGTACCCGGAGTCTGATATACTACAACTTTATGCCCAGGAGCCTGAGTAGTATGGGTCTATGCTCCCCCTCCCTCTTGAGATGTGGCTGAGTCTGCTGGAAATAAATCAGCCTGGGTCATAGAATCCATGAACCGCAGCATACGACCCCTGACCTCTTAGAAGCCCAATGTTGACATGAAGTCTATCGGGGCTGGCTCTGCTGCGGGCACCTCGCCCTGCTCCTCAATAATGGGATCCTCTACTGGATCCGCTGGTGGTGCAACTGGGACAACTCTGGGACGTCCTCATCCCCTACCTTGGGCCGGTGCCCTCCCTCGCCCTCTACCTTAGCCTCTAGCAATGGGTGGAGAAGCTCCTCTCGTGTCCGGAATCTCTACCGCATGCGTCCTCACCATCTGTGAGAGAATAGAAGAAGAAAACTTAGTATACCATCCACTGCACGATAGGATATGAATAAAGAGTAGTTTCCTAACACCCTATAACCTCTCGAAGATAAGCACAGACGTCTTTGCACCGATCCGCAAGACTATATTAGGTTTGCCCATAACTTGTGAGACCTACATGAACCTAGTACTCTGATACCATGTTGTCACGACCCAATTCAAATTTAGGCCGCGATGGCACCCAACACTGTTACTAGGCAAGCCAATAGTGAACTATCTAGTGATTTCCATTTTTATTAAGTTATTCGAACACCTAACTTTTCTTAAATTTAAAGGATTTAATAAATAACGAATTTTAGAGCAATCAAAAGCTAAAACAACTAAATAAAATCATAAATGTAGAAATACAACCCAAAATCATAAGTCTACTAGTGTGTGCCAAGACCTGGTGTCACAAGTATATGGGCATTCTAGCAGAATATATAAAAGAATACTAGTCTACTGTCTGAAATAAAATAGACAGATAAATATAACAAAAAGGAGACTTCGGTTACTGCAGTACGGATCGGAAGGGGTAGCTCACCGTATAGTCTCGAACCAGAAGTCAAGCGTGCGCGCCGGACTGGTAACCAGATGTTCTTACCTCAGATCATGTACAATTTAGTACAGAAGTATAGTATGAGTACATAAACAATATGTACCTAGTAAGTATATAGTCTAACCTCGAAGAAGAAGTGACGAGGGGTCGAATCCGACACTTACTAAGGGCCAACAATATGATAATATGAAATTCTAATTTAAAACATGATACATGTAGAGATGACAATAAAAACTCAGAATGAGAGATAACTAAACAATCCTTTTACCATATTTAAGAACTGAATCATTTCCTTCATTTAAAATAATTGTGAGCACGTGATTTTTGCTTCACGGAAAACTACTCCAAAAGAAATCGAAAAATATAAAAAATAAGTAAATAAAACAAGTTACCTTCGGGTACAATTTTGAGAATATGCGTGACATTTTGATAATTGTTCTGTCCGTAAACACTCACCTTGCAATAGTTGAAAATACAAAAATACATGTTGCATGCATTTAGGAATTAATGGTACATTCAGAAATTAATTAACCATAATTTGGTTAAAAGAAAATAAAAAATATATGCATGTGTGTTTCTTGTCATTGAGTGATTTTATTTAATGTTAATTTGTGTGTTAATTAGTATAGGTGTTACATAATATGTGTGTAATTTTTTTTTTTGATTTTACAATTTATTTAGGAGTTTTGTTTAATTTTGGTAATTAAAGAAAAAGAAAAGAGTTGAGAAAAATGAAAGAACTCGGATGGGGCCGAAATATAAATGAAAAGTCAGGCCCAAATCAATTACCCCAACCCAGTCCAAACCCAGGCTTCCCAGGCACGGACCCAAACGACGTCGTATCAGCGTGCCCGTCTTGAGCCGTTGATTTGATTCAAATGAACGGTCCCGATCAGGCCACTCATTTAACCTCANCTCGACCTCAAAAAAGGGTCGAGTCCAGTTCGAGCATGGGTCATTTTGTTTTTAAGTTTCAAGAGGTACATTTCCCTTTCTTTCCTTCTGTTTGTGTGCTATTTGTGTTTGTTTACATGCTAGTTTAATTTGTTTGATTTTTCTGTCATTTTTCCATTAATTCTGTTCCGTCCTCATAAGCCCCTTTTTGTGGTCGATTGTTATTTTGTTTGTGTTTGAATACGTTTTGTGATATACATGCTCGAGTTAATTAATGTCGTCAGTCATATAGATTCCCTATGTCGTGCAAAATGGTTGAAGGCAGTTGATGCCCCGTTCATGTCATTTGTCTGATTGACTGATTATTATACGTCGTGATTAGTATAGTCGATTAGATAAACGTCGTCGATTAGCTTTATTGGATTGAATGTTCAAATATTCTGAGTCGTATAGCTTCATAGGATGGATTGAATCATTTGTTGTTCATTGGATGTTTGACATTGTTTGAAAATGGTTTATAACTGCATTGCAAATAATTAGAACTCAGTCTAGGGCAACTTTGAATTTGAATTTTCAGAAGTTCAAAATGTCCTACTGTTGCAGTAGGACAATACAGTAATAATCAGGGTTTAACAGGGGTAATTTGGGGGTTTGAAAAGAGCAGAAATGACTAGTTTAAGTGAGCTGACGATAGGGTACTGAAAGAGGATTTAAACTAATATAATAGTAGGGAATCAAACTTGGCAGCATGGGGGTTGATTAAATATTAAAGGCTGCCCATACCTTTGGGCAGAAAACACATGCTAGGGGGCTGTCAAGAGGATGGACATTGGGGAGTTTTGATTAGTTTAAAGGAGTCATGGGCAGAGTGGAAGGCAAAAAGGATCAAGGCAGCCTGGGGGCCTGCCATTTTCTGCCTATAAATAGGTTTATTTAGAACAAAAAGTGGGCTGGTCTTAAAAACTTTGGGAGGTCAGTTTAGTATTGAGAGCATAGGCTAAAAGAATTATTAGGGATTCAGAGAAAAAAAGTTGTTAGTCTTAAAAGAAAAGGTCGAGGCTGGTCTTCCAATTTGGAAAGTGCAGTTTAGTTTTTGAGAGCATAGGCTGTGCTATTACTTTGTTAAGTCAGTACTAGGCTTTACATAAAAGAACTTCAGTT